ATCTCTCTTTTGTGTTTGAAAAGAATAATGAAGCATGTAATCAAGAATTTTAAATACAGATAAGCATTCGATACACGACAATCTATCTCAGAATAGAACCCTTACTGTGAGGAAGGCATGTCCGGTGAATGGCACAAAGAGTTAAAAGGACAATGCGAAAATTACCCGTGTCTATATAATATATATATATATATATATATATATATATATATATATTATATATATATATATATAAATATATATATATATATATATTACATAGAGAGAGAGAGAGGGAAATTTATGTAACTTAGGTGGACGTCCACAAAGTTTCTTCGTCATTGATGATCACCTGATTGAGCTACATTGTAGATGATCCGTTCTGTTGAACTTGATCTACATATTCTAAAACCCCAACACATCAAATTTGGGGTAAACCCGTCGTGGTTGTGACCATCCGTCGAGCCATGTAAAAAGATCTATTCATTCGAAACCGTTAAAATTGATACGAGTGGATGAAGGGTCAAACCACGACAGGTTCACCCCAAATTTGGTTGTTTGGGATTTTAGAATATGTAGATCAAGTTCAACGGAGCGGATCATCCACAATATAGCTCAATCAAGTGATCATCAATGACTAAGAAACTTAGTGGACGCCCACTTAAGCTGACATAAGTTTTATTATATACTATATATATATATATATATATATATATATATATATATATATATATATATATATAGAGAGAGAGAGAGAGAGAGAGATAAGCTTATGTCAACTTAAGTGGATAAGAGGCATTGTCCACCAAACTTTTGTCTTTAGATTTGTGCCATCAAAAGATATGCACAAATTGTTAGATCCTAGAGGGGGGTGATTAGGGTCTTATGCTAATCTAATCCCGATTAAATACCAATCAAAATTAATTAACAAGTTATCCTAGTAAGAATAAAATACAACAATATATATGAGCTAGGATGAGCAATATGAACTAATGAATATATCTTAGCAATGAGATATTACAAATATATGAGCAAGGATATATAAACAACACAAGGTGAGCAATGAGCACAATATAAATGAACGCCAAAGCACACACAAACACAATCAAATGATCATGGAGTTCGGACCTTCCGTCCTACGTCTCCGCTCCCCACTCCCGGGGAGAAATCCACTATCACAACCGGGTTTTCTACGTTTACCCAAACAACGTTTACACCTCACAATACGGTTTTCTAGTTTACCGAAAACTCCAACTAACACACTCTTGTAATCTCACTCTACACCTTCTCAAGTGTTGGACCTAGCCATGTCTCCCTCAAGTGCTCGGTTACAACCTCTCCCTAGGTTCGTCAACCGACGCCACTCCTCTTGGGACGATCCCCGACTCTCACCACACACTCCTCTCGGTGTACAAGTGTATTACAAAGTGATTCTCATAATAAGGCACAATTACAATAAATGATTTGTTCTCTAATATGGATGAGAACACAATGAAAGCTCACACTCAATTGTTACAACTCTCACCAACCCAAATATACTATGTATGAAAATACAATAACCTCAAGTGGGGTGTGTAAACAATGAGTGAAATAAAATCTAACTCAAATAGCAAACTAGCAATAATAATAATATGAAAATCAACAAATAATTTAAACCAAACTTAAACCCTTGTTAAAAAACTCTTTTAAACTTGATTAAAACTTCTTAGATAGGATATGAAGGATGAGAGCAATGGGGGTTTTATAGCCTCCCAAAACCTCAGCCAAAAACCCCAAAAATCAATTAAAAATAGTAAATAAACTTCAAAAATTATAAAATTTTGAGGGAAGGTTCTAAACATGTAGATGAACATGTTAGAGAAAGAATTTATGAAAAATCACTTCCCAGTTGAGAGAAATAAATGTTTGAACACAGATAAACAGTTTCTAAAAAACTGTTAAAAACTCGATTTTGTAAATTCAATTAAAAATAACAAAACAACTCCAAAATTAGTAAAACTTGGAGAAATATTTGTATATACGATAATAAACATGTAAATGAAGAAAAATTTCAAATCGCATTTATCAATTATGAAAATGTATCTGTTTTGTAAAAACATGCACGGACACATGCACGTACATGAACAAAAAACTTGATTTTTTTCAAAAATGAGTTCAAATAACTTGGAAACACTTTAGAATGGATTTGTAGACATTATACGAGATATAAAAATAGTGTGAACAAGTCTTTAATCTATAAACACAATATTTTTCTAAATACAATAGAATATGAAACAAACAAAAGTGCATATGAAGATATATATTGTTTCATATCTACACAACTAAACCAAAACAACTTAACCATATGAAAACAAACATGTATATATATAAATATGTATTTGTTTCATATTTAAACTTGAAAATCAAAACTTATATATATAAATGACTATATATATATAAGACCAAATATGTGTATGTGTGTATATGATTGAGCTTAAAGTATTTAACACACATAATATAAAACCTAAACTAGATTACCCAAGCCGATCTTGATCTTCAATATGCTTGACTTAGTACACTATGCGGATGAAGCTTGAACTTGGATCTTCAACTTGAATTGTATTGCTTCACTCCACAATTCCGCCAACCTCCATTGGATATGATCGTTGAAGCGCTATTCCATCCATCCTCCAACACGTTGTTTGCTAGAATAAATACGAAAACACAAACACTAGACAAACAACATTAGAAATAAATTGTTTGTTAAACATCATCAAAACAAGAAGGCCAACACAAATCTCAAAAGACTCTTCATATCTTTCATGGATCCCAAAGCAACATTAATTAATAAAAAAGTTGGTAGATGACTAGCTCCTATCCACTTAAGTTTACATAAGATTCTCTCTCTCTCTCTCTCTCTCTCTCTCTATATATATATATATATATATATCAGAAATTAAAATAGGAAATTTGATTATTAATATAAGGATCAAAAGATAAAATTTGATCAGAAATTAGAAAATTTTAAAGAAGCAATATTGATTTCTATAAATACCTAAGATGCCTAAAATTCTTAATATCACTGCTTATTATCAGAAATTTAAGAATTAAAAGATGAAAATTTGCTAGAATTTTTATGGATTAGAAGATGAAATTTGAGCAGAAAATAAAAAAAATTAAATATGAAGAATTAAAAGAAGAAATTAAGAAGCTGAGAAATTAACATAGAGACATAGTAAGGCTTACACACACACACACATACATATATAGAACTATGTGTTTATATATAGCAATCTTTTAAAAATAGCAAACCATGTCCAATAAATCCCAATTGATAAATAGCAACCTTTTAAAAATTTGTAAATGATAAATGCGCGCGCGTGTGGATGCAACACACACACATATATGTATAGGAAAATGATAAAATGAGATGATGAGCTCAGATTCTTATCGTGAGCTAGCCCAATAGGCTACGCGAAACAATGATCGACATCGCTCATCTTGATTTGTGCTCATCATAATCTGTATGAAGAAAAAATTATATGTTTTTTAACTTATAATCACTATTTTAGCTATGAGTAGAAGGTACGCCTGTTAAGCTGCATGAAAATTGATATATCAAACTTGTTTAATTCATATTCTAGAAGACTCTAAATTACGCGAAAATTTTATCATATACATCTGATGATTTGTTGAACAAGATGTATGGAGCAGATCATGAGTTTGATGAGTCAATTTGTATAGCTCACAATAAGATTTGAGCTCATCATCTCACAATGTCATTATTATATTTATAATGATGGTTTTAGTTACCAAAAAATATGTATACAATACTATTACTAATGACAATATTATGTACTTTTTTCAAAATATAAAACAAACTCGTTGGTGGGGGAGGGTCAATTATGATAATTTTTAATCTCTATTAGTAATGTCATCATCACTACCACGGATTTTTTTTTTGGGGTCCATTCGAGAAAAACACTTAAGAAAACCGAATAAATTCCAGTTATTTTAACCCAACTATCTAGAGGGATTAATATTAGCATATTAAAGCACCTATGATTTACGGGACTCATATCTAAAGAAAAATACCCTTAATTATTATGTTTGGGGGAAATGCAAGAACAAAGTTGGGTGGTAGATAATAGTGAGATTACTGTAGTTTGTTTGTGGCTCTGTGTTGGGAGAGTGGGGGCTCATCAATTTGCATCGGAGATTGAGACATAAAAGTAACACAAATCTCATGATGAGCATCCCTTTGCAATCATTCATGGCTCTGACCTTTATCCATACCTTCACCAAAAAAATACTGCAGAGAAAGTAAAAAAGGGCTTCGCAGCTTTGAACTCTCTCTCTAAGATCTAGTCAACAACGCCCATAAAGGTCAACATTGGTTGGGTTTATGGGCTAATCTGTATTTGCTCCTGGCCCAACTTGGGCCCAACTTCTCCAGGGGCGAATCATGAAAGCATGGTGTTTAGTTTGAAGTGGATATACTAAACTCGATTGTCTAAAAGTAGTCATTGCAATAACTGGTTTATGTTGAAAATTATTGTGTAAATATAATTATCATACCAGAAAGATAATGACAGAGTAATAAACTGAAGTAGAAAGTTTTGATCAATATATAATAGCTTAATCTTTTGGATTAACGTGACAATTACAAGGGGACAAATGGAAGATAAGTTGAATATTAATGAATTAAAAAAATAACAACAACAACAATAATAATATTGAGAAAATTAAAAATAAAGAAGTAACTATCTCCTTGACTACTCCAAGAAAAAGTACACTAAAAAAAATCAATGTTGAATAGAGGTCGGTATTAAAACAAAAACAAAAACAAAAAGATGAATTAAATTGTAGATCTTAAAGGGTTGATTTTTCCTAAAAGATACAAACAAGAAAATTAAACTGGTCGCTGGCCAATGTTGGGCCGTCGCAGTGGCCAATCCATCCCCCATCAATTACGTCCAGCCCAACTTAAATTAATGGGTCGGGTTTTAAACAGTTCGGTTGTAGTAGCCGCAGTTTGTCCTCGATATCAAACGTAAAAAAGTTCCCAACTTTGAGTCAATTTTAGGGTTTTGATCGTCAATTATGGAGCAGGAATCAATGGCGAAGGCCGATGATGAGAAGAACGAGAACAAGTACAGCATCATAATCCCAACTTACAACGAGCGCCTCAACATCGCGCTCATCATCTACCTCGTCTTCAAGCATCTTCAGTATTTGCCCCTTTCTCCCTTTCTCTAATTTCAACTCTGATTTTGATTTCATTACAAATGGACGCTGTTGATCTGATTCTGATTTCATTCCAAATTGGATTTTTTTTTTTTTTTGCCAATTTGCTCATCAATCAGCTAATATGAGTGTAAGCTCTAGGTCATACTGAACAGATCAGTGAAGCTTTGGTCTTTATAAAGGCAAATATTGATTTGTTGTCTAGATTCAGAGTCATCTCAAGTTTAGATCTTGTTGTCGTCTTTATCTTAAGATCTCTCTCTATATACTGAACCCTATGAATCTGTAACTTAAACTTCAGTATTCGTTTATGCAACATTCTTAAGTTTGTTTCTTTACAACAAATATCATGAATTTTGTTTGCACCCCTTTATGAAATTGAGTACATTCTTTGGAAAATTGGAAATGTTCATGTTGATAGCTTGTGAAAATTATGACGATACACTTTTTCTTACTGGCATGCAGATGTTATTTTAATAACTGCCTGTAGAGTACGATTCGTGAAATCACAGTTGAAAATTGAACTGTTGGGAAACTGCAAGGGTAACTTGCAGTTTGTCCCGTCACCAATTAGAACCATAATTGTAATGGTAATTAAAATTCTCCATTTTGGTTCTCCTATGATTTTCGGCATTTCTTAGCCTTTGAGAGCTATACATCCCCCCTCTGGATCAATAGCCATCATCACAACTGCTCACCTATTTAGTTTTCTTTATTTATTTATTTTTTTGGCTGGTTTTACCATTCATGTCGTCGTTCAAGATTTTTGTTCTCCATATTGACTCTAACAAACTTACCCCTAACGCGCCATACCCGACCCACCTGCCCGCACACAAAACAGAAAAAGAAAAATCAATTCCCTCATCCAATGCACACATTGTTTCCTTAAAGAAAACCTGACACTCAACATTGCTACTGTATCATGTACTCGGTTTGTAATCATTAAGCTTACTTCAACTTTCTCAACTGTTGCCTTCTTCATGCAGATAACCATCACTCAGCCTTTGTCTATGAACCTCAAATCAGCCTATATGTTGGTTTCACTTTGAGATAATGTTATTTCCCTAACCATTACCTGTTCCTCATAATAATAATAATAACTGGTTTTTGTTAATGAAATGAGTGTTAAACTGCTAATTATGTTGTAAAACTTTTACTTTTCATGAAACTTAGCTGTAAGGGTCAATTTGATCAGTGAGGCTTTAGAATCCATGGTTATCATGTGTAATGGTGACTTTTATAGTTGGCTCTTCCATTTGAGGATCATGAACGCAAGAGTAAACTACCTTTGTCAAATCATTTTAAAGTTTGAACGGTACCGTTTCCTACAGTCAAAAGTTTTTCCCCTGCATTTTCTACATTATTAACTCTTTAAAAATCATAAACTCAGAAAAATAATTGTCTGTAATTTTTTAGGGATGTTGATTTTGAAGTCATCATTGTGGATGATGGAAGCCCTGATGGAACACAAGATGTTATAAAGCAGTTGCAGCAAGTATATGGGGAAGATCGAATTGTAAGAATCGTAATTCAGATAACTAGAAGATTTTTTATGCTTGACCCTCTCTTTGTTATTTAGTTATTGATACTTATTATTAATTTTCTTTGGTGAGGAAATAATTTCAGCTATTAAGAGCAAGGCCTAAAAAGCTTGGTTTGGGTACGTTTCTTTTGTTGTTTCCTCTACCAAAGATTATAAATTATTTCCTTACACAATAATATGCAGGAACTGCTTACTATCATGGGCTAAAGCATGCTTCTGGAAACTTTGTTGTTATCATGGATGCCGATCTATCACACCATGTAATGCCTTCTGTTTGAGTTATTTCAAGGGAAAATATGATTCTAAGGGGCCCCGTTAGATTCAATCTAAGGATGCAACTTTAAAACTATGTTATATGCAATCAATTTACTTGATCCACTCCGTTCATCTCGTTCTATATGTTCTGGATGGTGTATAAACAAAAAACTAGGCATTGGGTTGTAGTTATCTATGCATCAAGTGATTGTAAAATTAACAGTTTTATGACAATACAACTAAAGAGACGATGAAAAATATATACATGAAAAATTGAAACATCATGATTTTTGTTTATAGGTGTTTTCAGATATTTAGATGATGATGAAGGGAGCGAAGCATCTATTTGAATAGCCCAACCCATGCATCAAGAGGTGCATCCTTAGATTTAATCTAAGGTTGCTCCTTAGATTCATATTTCCCTCAACTATTTCAAGACTATTTTGTTAGTTTCTGTTTTAGTTATTTCATCACTCTACTTACGCTCAACTCTTTTTCTGCAGCCAAAGTACTTACCAAGCTTCATCAGGTAAAATTCTCAACATTTTTTTGGCAATGTTTTGACTAGGGATTATGTATTTATATAAGGATAAGTGGCATTAAACAACTATCATGTCTCGTGCTTTAGGAAGCAGAAGGAAACTGGTGCAAATATAGTTACTGGAACGCGGTATGTTAGAAATGGAGGTGTACATGGATGGAATCTCATGAGGAAATTGACAAGTAGGGGAGCAAATGTACTTGCACAAACTCTTTTATGGCCTGGGGTATCAGATCTCACTGGATCGTTTCGGTAGGGAGCAAATGTACTTGCACAAACTCTTTTATGGCCTGGGGTATCAGATCTCACTGGATCGTTTCGGTATGTTTTCCAAGGTTAAGTTCATCTTTTGAGGCTCCTTTGAACTTTTTTTATAGCTAGCTTGCGTTTTTCCTTTCTACACAGGCTTTATCAACGATCGGTTCTTGAGGATGTCATGAACTCGTGTGTCAGTAAGGGATATGTATTTCAAATGGAGATGATTGTTAGGGCCACCAGGAAAGGATATCACATTGAGGAGGTAGGGAAACTATAATTTCAAATGGAGATGATTGTTAGGGCCACCAGGAAAGGATATCACATTGAGGAGGTAGGGAAACTATACATTTCTTAGGACTTGCAAAATTTGAATGTCACTCCTTTTAGTTGGATGATCTTATTGGAATCTAATTTGTTGCTGAACTACACTGAAGTTTGGAAGTCAACATGCATCTTGTTTGCTGAAAGTGACTCTTAACATCATCTGCAGAGTGTTTTGAGACTTTGATTTCTCTGAATGTGGCATCGGCTAGTTAATTATTTCCCTTTTTTCATATGTTTACCATTCCAAAAAAATTTCTCTTGAAGATTAAAATTTTGACTGTCAGGATTAGTCAAAATCATTAGTCAAAACCATTACTCCCTAGAATTACATCGAACGAACAGGGGTATCATTCTTCGGTTATTGAAATATTTAATATATCTTCAATTTTATGTGCTATGTGTATGTTGCACTACTTGCAAATCAGTAATTCCTTTCTATTAGAAACAGCATCATCTGTTAGCTGAGGTTTATTATGCTTGCTGTAGGTTCCAATTACCTTTGTGGACAGAGTCTATGGGAGCTCAAAGCTCGGAGGATCTGAGATAGTTGAATACCTGAAAGGCCTCGTATACTTACTGTTGACAACATAAAAAAGTTTACTTTGAGGTACTGTTTTCTGATTTTGTTTTCATGTGACATTAACTTGGTTAACAAAACAATAGACGTTGTAACCATTTCATAGTTATATGATTGGTTTCACATAGGAAGATTTTTTTTCCGATATGTATCATCTGATGTTTGAATGTTTTAGAGTGATATACATAGAAATGATGGAAGGTAATTTTGCTATATCTTGTTCATGTTTATAGGCGTAGCGTTCGCGCTGTGTTTTCCTACCTTCCCCTTATTTCACGCTCTTTTACTTTATTAATTATCAAATTAGAATTATCGACACCCTAATTATTTGAGACCTTTAAGAAACTGGTTATTTGATTAGTATTTGATTATTTTCATGTCATTGGTGATGCTTGTGGACATGTAGATGTAGGTGAGGGTGACCCGATTGAATCATTTGAGTATTGATAAGGATTTTGAGTAAAATATGTTGAACCCTTCTCAAGTTTGTCTTCAAAGTTTAATAAACTATTAAGAGGGTCTTCAATCACTTTCTTATCTCAATTGTTTGGTTGAATCTGTCACCACCTTTGAGATGACTGCAATCACTTTTTCTAATTAATCCTAGAAAATTATATTATCAATGCCGTGCATATGATATCAGGTTGGTTGCTTTAATTAATTTTAATGGGAGCTTAATGCAATCTTAAGTTAATGGTGAAACAGGGTCTGATTGTGTGGAGTAGGGTTAAGTAATTGAATTTTGGGGGTTAATTGGTTTACGAGCAACACAAGGGATTAAAAAGGACAAAATGACTAACTCTCCCTTAAAGTATTATTAAAGTGTTAACTTGCCCTTTAAAGTATCAAGTTGCCTATTTTCTTCAACTAGTTGAGATGCACGTCTAATGCACGTGATTGAATATCATAATTATTTAAATTGATAAAAATAGAATAAAAAAACTTATATTGATCATCAACTCAATAAGCTCTCTCTCAAATAAAATATTATCATTGTTTCCTTTTAACCCAGACTGTGACCACGTAATCTACTATTTGTGAGTTAAAACGTATTAATATAGTACATCATCTCTATTTATTAGTCTCTTGAAGTCTTCAAAAGATGAGTGATCATTCAATTCACAAAAGAATTTCGCATATGAATTTACTTGCAATATGTCCATTAAACTTTTAATCGTGTTTGGCTCATATTCACGTTAACTTTTTAGTTGATGTTTCACTCATATTTATATTATCTAAAATAATATTCTCATTCAATTTTATAGCTCATTTTTTTAGTTGATGTTTCACTCATATTTATATTATCTAAAATAATATTCTCATTCAATTTTATAGCTCATTCTCTATATCATAGAAGTAAAACTATTTATATTATCTAAAATAATATTCTCATTCAATTTTATAGCTCATTCTCTATATCATAGAAGTAAAACTAAAAATGTGAAGAATTATTTTCTTACGAAATTAGAACATGGAGATTATGATATATTTTGCCACATGCTCTAAATATTAAAAAAAAATTGATGCAAGGTCCTTATCAAATCTTACCTTAAATGATGTGAATAAAAAATACTATTATAACTCACTTGCCTAGGGCAATTGTATTGTATATAGGATACATATCTCATCTAGAATATTCATATCTCCTAAGTAGATTTTGTTGTTTGTGAGAGCAACATGTTAAGAGTCTCGTATTCAAACTTTTTGGCTCTATAAAAGACACAAGAATTTGGAGTGCATAGTTTATATATCATAAATAACATATCGATTCATGAAGAATTTTTTCTAATAATGATATTATTACAACGATATTACTATTTAATATTAAATCAATTTTATTATATATGATTATATGATCATTTTTAATAAATTATAAAGTATATATATGGAAATCTTGATGCTTATAGCTAGTAGTTAGGCTCCACAAAATAGGTTAATTTTACATTATAGTTTGTTATTTGTAGTATTATTAGCAATGTCATTACCTTTCCTCTTTATCTTATTATTCACACTTTTCTGATGTAAGTTCTCTTTTGCTAATCATTCAATTTGCTATATTTAGTTTTTATAATATCAGAGGTTAAAATATTCTTTTCTATTTAAAAAGTGTTGACATGATTTTCTTAAAATATATACACATAGTACCAATAGTATATATTTCAGTGCAACTCAAACATTAGCTCAAAGCCTATTTAGAGTGATGTCATTTCTATGCTAGAATGGTGATATAGTGATTACACAGTCTAAAAGTCAAGAAAGAAATTTCTACAAAGAAAAAGTAATTTAATATGTTAAATTAAGAACTAATTTATAAAATATACATGGGCAGTACAGATAGTTATAAAAAGTAAGGTATATATCTTCATAAATATTTCATAGTGAGTGACCAACTACAATCATCCTAATTTAAGCATAAATAATTATTATTTTAGTAACTATAGGATAAATCTCTAGTAAAAAATAGGAATTGAGATTGTATGGTGTTGTAGGTAAATAAATAAATGTTATTAGATCTCATCTTTATATTAAATTTAAAAGTAATAATTTAAATTATTAAGCACCAAATATTAGCTCATGTGAGAAAGTAAAGTAATTTATGTTCTATATATGTAGTCAATCAATCAAACATATTAAAATTATAATGACCACAGTCAAAATTATATGGTGGGTTCACATTAAATACAATTTGTAAAAAATAGTACATTAAAGTCAAAATCTTTTTAACCACTATATAGATTGTCTAAAAATTTTTACATATATAAACTATACTATCTAGGAATAGTGATGTGCACACTTAACTATGGTCTAATAATTTTAAGAACGAGTTATTCTTCAATATCATCATTAATTGATGTATATGTGCATTACACTAAAAATACAATAAAATTTTAGAAAACTACAAAATAAACACCCACAAATTTTTTAAAAAGTGTAAAAAACACCCTAAAATTTGTAATTTATAAATACAAAAAACTATTAAACATTACATTGAAATCAATGAATTATAAAAAAAATCATTGGAAATTTTTTTAAACTTTGAAGGGATAATTTTCAATGTAGTATACTTTAACGATGTTTTTTTTGTAAATTTTAAATTTAATAGATTTTCAATTATTTATGTTCTTTTTAAAAAAGTTATGGGTAATATTTACCATGAAAAGTTTTTCCTAAACCTATACTTTTAAAAGGTGTATGATATTTTTTACAAAATTTTAATTTTCTAGGGGTTGTTAGTAAATTTGCATATTTATTTTAGTGTCTATAGGTTAGAAATTCTCATGGTGTTTTTTTATAAATTATGAATTTTAAGAACTTTTTATAATTTTTAAACTTATAGGCATTTTTTATAGATTGTAAATTATTTATAGACTATTTATAATTTCTATGCTTTTAATTTACTAATGAATTTAAAATTTTTAGGGTTTTTTCATAAATTTTGAATTTTAAATGTTTGTTTATAATTTTTGAAACTTTAAGGGTATTTTCTATAAATTATGTAATGAATATTTATAATTCTTATATTTTTAATGTACTGTTAGGTCAGAAACTATCAGGATTTTTTTAATTTTATAATTTTGAGGGTTCTATTTTGTAATTTGTAAAAAGTTCGGAGTGTGTATTACAAATTTCATAAATTTTTGGGGCTTGTTTGTGTTATTTGTAGGTTTTTAGTATGTTTGTAGGTTTGAAAATTTTAAAGTATTTTTTATAGATTTTGAATTTTTAGAGGTGTTTTGTAATTTTTAAAACTTTTATTTTCTCCAAAGTTAAAAAAACTCTCAGTTTCAAGTTAGTATATATTTTTCAAGTTTCTCACGAAATTGAGATAAGTAAAATTTATAATTTTTAAGATGCTTTAATAAAATTTTGAATTTATAGGGCTATTTTTGTAATTTAAAATACTTGGAGAATATTTTTTACAAAGTCCAAAAACTTGTAGGTGCTGGCTAGCATATTTTTTTAGATTTCTCTACGAACTGAAATAAGTAAAAGATTTGAATTATCTTAAACTTATCTATTTTATCCAATAACATGTGAAGTCTCATTATGGATAAAATACATCATTTTGTTACCAATTCAAAAAAGATAGGGTAATTAGAATAGATTAGGATAACAATGTAATATTTTTAAAAAAACTAAAGGTAATATTGATCATAGAAAGATTTTTCCAAACTCGTACTTTTAAAGAGAGTATGATTTTGTAACTTAGGGTATATAACTGTTTCAAGAGCGAAACACATAGGGTATATAAATGTAATTAAGCCTTTAAACGTTTGAGGTTATTTCTACAATTTTTAAAATATTGAGGGTGTTAATTACAAGTTTTAAAATTTTAGATATAATGTTTGTTTTTAAGTTTTAAAAAGTCAAGGTGTTTTGTGTAATTTTAAACTTTTAAGGCTATTATATGCAATTTTTGAAACTTTTGGGTTTTTTTATAATACTTCATGTATTATAATATGTTATCTACGTATAATTTCTTAATCTTATTTTTCCTATATTTTTGAGCTATATGTAGTTCATATGAAGTTAATATAGGATATAATTAGTATTTGGATAGATTAAGATTTAAGTGAAATATTTAAAATAATTTTTTTTGACCTATAGATAGTTCATGTGGAATTAGATAAAATATGATTAAAATTAGAATAGATTAAGATAACAATGTAATATTCAAAAAAAGCTAAGGGTAATACTGACCATAGAAAGATTTTTCCGTACTTGTGTTTTTAAAGGGAGTATGATATACTATGTTCCTTTATCCAATGTGGTCCTTGTGCAAAAACCGTAAAATGCTCAATGTAAATTTTTTAAAATTTCAAACGACCCACTAAAAAGTTTGAAATTAAAAAATGTGAAACAAAACTAAAACAATTACAAAAAAAATCCTAAAATTTAGAAAGTTATAAATAGGCCTATGAAAATATGAAAATTACAAATGACCGATAAAAATTTAAAATTTATGGGAAACACCCTAAAAATGAAATTATAAAAAACATATTAAAATCCAAAATTTACAAACATTTCTCTGAATATATGAAAATTTAAAAATGAGCCCTAGAAAATTTAAAATATATAAAACAACCTTATAAATTTTGTAAATTACCAAAAACACCCTGAAACTCCAAATATTATCAGCATCCCTGTAAATTTTTTAGGGGGCTGTCCAAAAAATTTGGAATTTTAAAGGATTTTCATGGTGTTTTTTTTTAAT